TGAGAATGGAATATCAAAATGAGATGACACCAAACGGGTTGCTTAGAGGACATCTCAAGCTTTCTAAAAAGTCCAAGAACACCTCCAAAGAGTCAAAATTGAGGAAGTTATGCATTGGTGAAATTGACCTTTTTTTGCAAAATTACCAAAAGTCAACTATCCCTAAAACTTCAAATTTTGCCAAATGGGCCCAATCTTTTTCACTTATTTTGAGTTGGCAACATAGTCCACGAGCTCTAGCCTTTGCCACTTGTACTTATCATGTTTTTATTATTTATTTTGATTTTTATTTGAATTAATTCAATTTAAATCAAAACAAATCATATAAAATCCAAAATATTGAAAACAAAAGATTTTATGCTTGTTTCAGGTTTTATTATACAGCTAGAAAGTATTCAAACTCGTGCAAGGAATTAGAGTGGACAAAAAGATTGGATTTAGGCCATTTTTGGAAAGATTTACAGGAGGATTAAATCACAATCAAATTCATTGATGGAGGAAGATTGGATGCATTCTTTCAAACCTAATTCACTCCTTGGTACAAATAGAACAAAGGCAGACCATAAACAAGGTTAGAAACAGGCGCATGAACAAGAACAAAATCTGAAAAAAATCAAGAAAAAATGGTGAATCAAATTTGCACTTAGAGTCCAATACTAGACTCTTTGTCTATCCCAATCGATTCCTGGGAGTCTCAGCAAGCTAAAGCAATCAAGAACCAAGCCTTTCCAGTCCTAAAAAGCTCTGTAAGTCAGCCACGATATCTCACATTTCTTGAATTCGAATAGCATGATTTAAGTATTGTTAGGATGAATTAATCACATATTCTTGATCTATGAGACATATGGAAGCTTTCTGCATGACTTAATTGCATTTATATAGCTTGTATGGAGTTTCACCATTGTTAGGGTTTACGAGCTCAATTTGGGATTTCTGTGTATAAGCAAAATTGGACCATAAAAGGGCCACCAATGTAACCAGCAGGACCAGACGAATTCAACCATGGATTTGTTTTTCATTTATCATGTTTGTGCTTGATTTTGAGAATGCATAGGGCTATAGCTACGGACAAACGTCCGTAGGTAAAAGTGTTTCACTTTTACCAACGGATCCAAGGAAGGAGACGACTGCGTGTCACATCCCTATTGGACCATTCAAAACTGGTGCGCATTTTCTTATTGTTTTCCACTAATTCTTATTTTTATATATTATTATTATTATTCATTACATATACAAAAAGAGCAGCCAACGCAGTTGGTTACAAGGTATGTGTATATTGCCTCAGGACCTGGGTTCGAATCCCAGGTCCCCCACTTTTCTCCATGTTATTTTCTTTTAGGCAATTACATGCATGCACAAGCCAGGAGACTACCATACTCCCTCAAGATCTGGTATACCAAGTGGCCAGATGGCCAAATCTGATGTCCATCCAGGAGGGAACACCAAAAGCCAAGTCAAGCGTGTAACACTGGATCCAGAAGGTCAAACGGACCTCCTTGTTTTTGGGCCCAGAATTCTGATTCCTGCACCCCCAAAAATGCTTTTCAGGCCCATTTCTTACTCTTTTTCTTTTTTATATTTCATTTAATTAATTTATTTATTTATTTTACTAACCATTAAACTATTTTCTTTTTATCAAAAATCACAAAAATATTTTTCTATCCAATTAAATTTAGGATATTTATTTTTAGTAAAAAAATTAATTAATTTAATTAGATTTAATTTTAGGTGAAAGCTTTAATTATTTTGTAAATAACTTAAAAATAAGTAGAATAAATAGGTTTTATTACTAATTTAATTATATTTTATTTTTTCCTAAAATAACCACACAAAAAAACCAAAAATAGGTCTTGTAATTATTTTTATTAATTAATTTAATTAACTAATTAATTGCATATTTAATTTAGAAAACTTATTTCATTTATAAAAAACAACAAAAACAAGTTTTCTTTTAATTAGGATAGAAGGGTCAAAACTCTAGTTCGCATTCGTTTTAATTTGTCATCGCGCGCTTTATTTTATTTTTATCCCAATTATTGTATCTGCTCACAATTTGTAATAGTTTAAATTATGACGTTTATTTACTTTTATCGCTTTATTTTTAAAGGGTTTGTTTTTGGCTATGTAAATACCCGAAGCCTTGTAATAGCGTAGTTTAAATTCCGCATTTTAAATTCCACAAATTATTAACTGTTAGATGTATGAATAATTAGAGTTTGCATGACAAGAATGTATGTTTAATTTTAAAACGGATAGATAACCCTAATATGTACAAAGATAAATAATCTGAAATTGAATCACTCGCACATGCACACTCCTAGGGTACACTCCCACTTGGTTGCCTTCGGTAAATGGTCATTGAGTATAGGATGCTTTAATGGTCGTCCTTTTGTCCAAAGATCATAGTTGCCTCGGAAAGGTTGCCTCGAATATTGTTGCCTCAGATAAATTGATCTAAGACATTAAGGTTACTACTAAGACGTCCTAACATTGCTTTAGTGACCGTACGTCCCTTTTCGAATTGACCCTCAAACTCCAACGACGGTGCTACCTACTCACTAATAGTGGGATAGCATTGTCTAAAGGAAACAAACATAGAACGATTCCTTTTTCGAGTAGGTAGATTAGTTCTTAAGTACTTGCTCAAAACCAAAATTTTCACACTTACACTCCTTTACAAACAAGTTTTCAAAACACTTCATTACACTCTTGAAGACAAAAGCAAGAGTTAAATCGAAGTCAAAACAAAATCTTTTCAAAGCCCACAAACACAAAGAATTTTTTTTTGAAAATGATGAGCAAGTACCTAAGAGCCCGTGGAAAACCACGGATAGAAAGGGTGCTAATACCTTCCCTTTCTATAATCTACCCCCCGTACTCAGAAATATCTTGAAAAAGGAATTTTTCTGTGCGTTTTTCCTTTCCTTGTTGAATAAAATAAAAGACGGTGGAGACTCTTGCTTACCGCGACATTTTGTGAAAACAAACGTAAAACACAAACCAACAAATTCCTTAAAAAATAGGGAAACACGTCCCGGTTCTGGCCACCGTATCACACTTATGTTCTTTTTGGCACTTGTATGTGCTTGACATTTAGATATTCTGGTCTGTACCTATTTTACTACTACTACTACTACTACTACTACTACTACTACTACTACTACTACTACTCTCTTGAATGCATGTTTATTTGGCATATTATGTCTAAAAAGGGGGAGAGAAACTGACTGCAGACTGGCTGACTGCTAAGTTTGAGGGGGGAGCTTCATTGTTTAAGGAAGAGTCTCATGTCTCAGAAGATGTCCTGACATCTTCCACTGCTAACTGCTAACTAAGTTTTTTTTGCTGTTGCTCTGGATAATGTGCTCAAATAATATTTTAGCCAAAACTTGCAAAAGGGGGAGTTTGTTAGTGTTTGTTGGCAGTAATTTTGGTAAAACACTGCTTTGGTAATGTTTTACTTAATGTCTTGACATTTGAAGTAAAACACCTCAATTGTTTTTGAATAATGTCAAAGCAGATGTCTTGACATCTGCCTACTGATCTGAACATGTTTTCAGATTTTCTGTTTTCTGTTTTTAAGCGTGGCTTATTCAGGTTTTATGGTTTATAGCTTGCGAAAAATATGGAGGAATATTTTTCTATCTGTCTTATCTTTATGGATTATATCTTGACCTACTTTCATGGAGATATTCAAGGGATTCAATTTTGCAATATTTTTTTCCAGCCCATGCCCATAAAGAAGCTGCAGCGCCTTTATAAGGACTTGCATCCTTATTCGTACAACTGCAACAATTGAGTAAAAAATATACTTTGTGTGTTTTAGAAGTCTGAATCTTTTAATTGTAATACACTCAAGTATTGTTTCAATACTTGAGTTGTATTTTGAGTTGTAAGTTGTGAATCATTCATAAGCTTTTAAGTATTGAATGATTAAGGCTTTTCAAACTTGATAAATGTGTTGTTTTTCACTGTTAGTGATTGAAGGGATTTGAGAATGACCTCATACCTAAGTGTGTCTTAGGTAGAAATATAGCATGAGTAATGATTAAGTGATTAGATCGTAAACTGGTTGTTTGCTGAGGGTCTATGAATTAATACTATTTAGTGGACTTGTCCCTGGCTTGGTAGCTCCAGAGTAGGTGTTGTTGTACACCGAATTAGATTAACAATCTCTTGTGTTTTTAGTGCTTTTAATATTGTTGTATTTTATATTATCCTCAGATATTTGTGTCGTGACATCTCCTTCGACATCACATATCTAATATCAGAATTTCAAGACATAAAATATATATTGCACGAGAATTGATTACTCATAATTATCCACGAACTCCAAGAAGACAATCAATATGTTGATTTCGCAGTCAAATTTAACGCCTCTTATAACATCGATATAATAGTTTATACTTCCCCGCCATTGACTTAGCCACAACCCCACTTATCACAAACACTTAAAATTGTAATTTTTTCCCTTATGTTATTTTTATAATTAAATTTTTTATTTAATCTTAAAAATACACATCTTTTTTCCTCTCAATTTTTTTTTATAATAGTTTTCCCTCATCTTTTCTATTCCATTTCATCAATCTATATCTTCTTCTTCAATCAAACAAATTGCAAATAAAATACTCATTAAGTTGTTCTGACTTTTTTTAATTAAATGATCAAAAATATTTTATATTTTAGAGAGACTAAATTGAGTATTTAATTCTTTATGAATTAAAATTAAATCCTAAATTCCTATTTCTAAATTCCTAAAATAACAAGACACACACAAAAAAAAAACCATAAACAAAAGACATGAAACATTGGAGAACTGAACCAGTTTCATTTTACCAATAAACAACTGAACCAGATTGAAAGTTGAAACATAAACAAAGCAAGGAATCAAACATAATCCTAAATCCAATGTAAAATGTCGTAATACTAATGTAGCGACCAAAAAAGAAACCGATTCGGTCACTGTCTCTCTTTCTCTGCGCGTCTTCATTCCGGCCAACATGGCCTCCACCACCACCTTCTCCGTCTTCCTCCTCTTCATTACCCTTTTCAAAACCCTAACCCTAAATCCCTCTTTTCCTCCTCCACCACCACCGCCGAATTACATCATCGGATTCACCCAATACAAAACCGCCGATCACCACCGTGCTTACCTCGAATCCAACCTCCGATCAAAAGGGTGGCAATGGATCGTGCGGAAGAATCCTGCAGCTAAGTTCCCCACCGATTTCGGACTCGTTTCGGTTCATGAATTGGGGCTTATTGAAGAAATTAAGAAATTAGGGTTGGTGAAGTATGTAAGTTTGGATATGAGCTATAAGAGGGGTTTGTTGAAGCATGAGAGTGATAAAGTTGGTTCCTTTGTTGATGGGAATAAGCGTCCTGGGAAGATCTTCACAAAGATGTCGTTTTGTGATGCAGATGAACAAGTTGAAGATTCTATTAATCGCAATGGTTCAATCAAGTGGGGTAGAGATTTGTTGAGCCAGGTCTTTTTTTTTTATTTTTTTTTTAGTTTTGTTGTTGGTATCTTAGGGAAGCTAGAAAGATTACAACTTTGATTGTCACATTTCATTATCATCATTATTGGTTTAGTGTATTGTGAATTTATTGATTATTGATAACTATTAAATGCTTGGTATTTTGACTTTGACTTTGATGAGTTGGATTTGGTTTATTATATGAATGCTATGCAATGTTTATGGTAGTAACCTCTATAGCACGACACCTTTGAAAAAAAGCCATGTCCATGTCTGTGTCCGAAATCGACACCGAGACTTGTGATTACGCTTAATTTGTTCACTTTTTTTCAAATTATGACCAGTGTCGACGTGTCAGTGTCGGTGTTGTGTATCCGGTGTTCGTGTTTCATAGTAGTAAGTAGTATTATCCTTGTTACTATTAGTAATAGTATTTTGTTTTCATTGAGTTGAAATTGGTTGGTTTGAAATTTATTGATTGTTTAAAATGTGCATGGTTTGAGGTGTTTGTCATTGTAACAGAGATCACAAGTTACTTCCATGTTTGGGGCGGAAGAACTGTGGACGAGAGGTCACACAGGTGCAAAGGTCAAGATGGCCATATTTGATACTGGCATTCGAGCTGATCACCCTCACTTCCGTAACATCAAGGTAATGCTTGTTTGGTTGATATGATGTTGGGAGTAGTGGTTGATTTATAGTTGATGAATTGAGTGTCGAGGAACTTTGTAGGAGCGTACAAATTGGACCAATGAGGATACATTGAATGACAATCTTGGACATGGGACCTTTGTTGCTGGTGTTGTTGCCGGTATGGATTCCGAGTGCCTTGGTTTTGCACCAGATACAGAGATTTATGCATTTCGCGTGTTTACTGATGCACAGGTAATGCCTGTTGGGTATTATTATTGAAGTATTTCTTTCGAAGGGGAAATGGGTTGAACTGATCTCTTTCTAATTCCATGGAAATGGTGTTTCACTATTTCAGTTAACCAGACTTTACATATCTTCATTCCTGTAATATGCATGAAAAATACACGATGCAATTGTCTGAAGCTTATTAACTGACTAGAGTAATCATTTGCAAGTTCTAAAAGGAGAATTTAGATATATCTTGACCGGATTATAAATGTTCATTTAAGTTGCATGTTTTTTATTTTCCAAATTCTGCTGCTTCTGTTTGTATTCTGCAATACTTTGCTAGATTTTGAGAAGATTTCATTCAGCCTATTGCAGGTGTCATATACCTCTTGGTTCCTTGATGCCTTTAACTATGCAATTGCAACAAATATGGATGTGCTCAATTTAAGTATAGGTGGACCTGATTACTTGGATCACCCATTTGTGGAAAAGGTAAACTTCTTGTGCCTATCTGTTCTAGCTCAGGAATTTGATAGTATCGAGTATTGTAACTTATACATCTTGAGGTAGAAAACTTCAAAAGTTTATAACTTATAGTATTAAAGATTAAAGACAACAGTTATATTATTTTCTGGAGAATGTATTTCCTTTACTTTAGCAATTACATGTTTTTGTTACATATATGATAATTATTTCTTCCACCAAACTATAGAAGTGTGCTTTTTATAGTTTTACGACTCAAATTTGTTAACCAGATATGGGAGATAACAGCCAATAACATAATCATGGTTTCTGCAATTGGAAACGATGGACCACTTTATGGAACATTGAATAATCCAGCAGATCAAAGTGATGTGATTGGTGTTGGTGGTATTGACTATAGTGACCATATAGCCTCCTTTTCTTCACGTGGGATGAGTACATGGGAACTTCCTCACGGGTACCATTTATTTTTCGTCTGTTAGTTTGTGATTCCCTCAAATATATTTGCGAGATTTGTTTCTTACTTGCTGGTAAATATTTAACCTTGCAGTTATGGCCGTGTGAAACCAGACGTTGTTGCATATGGACGGGACATAATGGGATCAAAGATTAGTTCGGGCTGTAAAAGTTTATCGGGAACAAGTGTTGCAAGTCCTGTAGTTGCTGGTGTTGTATGTTTACTTGTCAGTGTCATTCCTGAACCTGATCGCAAAAATATCTTAAACCCAGCAAGCATGAAACAAGCATTGGTCGAGGGTGCAGCAAAGCTTGCTGGGCCTAACATGTACGAACAGGGCGCTGGCAGAGTTGATCTGTAGGTTTTCGTATATAACTCTCTAATTTGTTTTGTTTTAACTTTTAAAACATATCATATTAATGTGACAATATCCATTATTTTCAGGTTAGAATCATATGAGATTCTTAAGAGCTACAAGCCTAGAGCAAGCATCTTTCCCAGTGTTCTTGATTACTCGGATTGTCCTTATTCATGGCCCTTTTGTCGTCAGCCACTCTATGCAGGTGCCATGCCTGTCATATTCAATGCCAGCATTTTAAATGGAATGGGTGTTATTGGCTACGTCGAAAGTCCGCCAATATGGCATCCTTTTAAAGAAGTTGGGAATCTTTTAAGCATTCATTTTACATATTCTGAGGTCATCTGGCCCTGGACTGGTTATTTGGCCATTCATATGCAAATCAAGGAAGAAGGTGCACAATTTTCTGGTAACATTGAAGGCAATGTGACTCTTAGGGTTTCCAGCCCTCCGGCTCAAGGAGAGAAGCACCCTCGAATAAGCACTTGTGTGCTTCAATTGAAGTTAAAAGTGGTGCCGACGCCGCCACGAGCAAAACGAATTTTGTGGGATCAGTTTCACAATATCAAATACCCTCCAGGTTATATTCCCAGAGATTCCTTGGATGTTCGTAATGACATTCTTGACTGGCATGGGGATCATCTACATACAAATTTTCACATAATGTTCAACATGTTACGAGATGCTGGTTACTATGTTGAAACACTCGGTTCTCCTCTTACGTGCTTTGATGCTCGACAATATGGAACACTTCTTTTGGTGGATCTTGAAGAAGAGTACTTTGCCGAGGAGATTGAAAAGTTGAGAGACGATGTTATAAATACTGGATTGGGATTAGCTGTCTTTGCTGAGTGGTACAATGTAGATACCATGGTAAAGATGAGATTCTTTGATGATAATACCCGAAGTTGGTGGACTCCTGTCACTGGAGGTGCTAATAATCCTGCACTTAATGATCTTTTGGCTCCATTTGGAATTGCCTTTGGTGATAAGATTCTGAGCGGTGATTTTTCACTTTTTGGTGAGGAGAATCGATACGCATCTGGAACAGACATAGTGAGGTTTCCAAGGGGTGGTTACGTACATAGTTTCCCCTTTTCGGATAGTTCAGAAAGCGGAGCCACTCAGAATGTGTTGCTTACTTCTAGCACCACCAAGGTGTGAAACGGCATCTTCTATTTCTTCGCTATGGTTAATGACGTTTAAAACTGTGGTTAATTATGTTTTGTGGATGGTTAATGTATTGTTAAACCTTATTATACGCATGAAACATCCACAAGGTAATTAATCACATATTTGAACGGCGTTAACCATCCAAATTGTTAAATTTGTGTCGATACCATTTTTTTTGTCTTTTAAGTTTTGGCCTCTCTTGGTGAAACAGGCCGATTCTCCAATTCTTGGTCTTACGGTGATGGGGGAAGGTCGCATTGGCGTGTATGGTGACTCCAACTGTTTAGACAGCAGCCATATGGTGACTAACTGTTTTACACTTCTGAGGAAAATGCTAGATTTTACCAGCGAGAATGTTAGAGATCCAGTGCTTTTCTCTAGTTCAAATAAACAAGACGCGCCCTTGTATGAAGATGACAATCAGTTGCCATCTCGCAGAACTGATGTAAATTTTTCATCATATTCAGCTGTTGTGGGGAAGGAATTGTTCTGCAGGACCGACTCAAGGTTCGAAATATGGGGAACCAAGGGCTACAGTTTGCAAGTCAGAGGAAGAAACAGAAGATTGCCAGGTTATCCTGTCATTGATCTGGGTGAGGGTTTCAATTCAACCTTTGATGCTTCTTACCTTACGCGAAAGGTAAATTTGAGAAGTAACGATGACTCTCTTGGGAATAGATATTTGGGCTTGTTCTATGGAGATGAGGTAAGAAACCAAAACCTTTGTTGAGCTGGTTTTCTAGAAATTTCAGATGCTGCATATTGCTGATGTACCGAACTCTGATCTTTCTTACAGCCTGATGCGCCTATGCTAGTTGGTAGTCACTGGCTTATTCCTGCTGTTGTTGCAGTAACTGGTTAGTGACCACTTAACTTTGCCATCCCATTTTTTCAATTAGTATATGTATTGTTTAAGATTCCCACTGAAAAATGGACTGAAAAGTGAGTGTGTATAAAAGTAGGAGACATCATTCACTTTACAAATTGGTTTTGTTGAGTTGTGTTAGATCAATCTAAATTTTAAGATGATGTCAAAGCCTATCCAAGATCTGTTGGGCCATCTGTTATCAGGCCATTAGGGCCACGCTCTAGATGTGGGTGTATTAAGATTCCATGATTGGATGGGATATGACCTAAAAATGAGTTTTAAGTGGGCGAAAACTCTTATCTTACAAGTCAATTTTATAGGGCTGAGTTAGACCATATGTAGCACCGACATTGTTCTTTGTCCAATAGGTGTCATGTCCGATACCTCACAACACTGACACGCGTGTTTACATTAAATTATTCTATTTTCTCAATTTATTTCCTGTGTGAATATGTTAATATCTGGTTGTTTGGTGTTCGTGTTTTTGTCAGTGGTTTGCATTCAAATTTTAAGATGTATATCTATGTTATCTGTTTCATCATTTCTTTCTTTTCTGACAGGTATATTAGTATTATTGAGTTTTTGGCGCATTCGGCAAAAGAGACGTCGAAGAAGGAAAGGATCATCAAGCACTGGTAGATTGACCAATTTATAGTCCAGTATCAACATTAATGTAATTATAGATCCTTGCATCCAAAGAAACCCCCCTGTAGCATTAGCATAGTTACAAATTTCTGAGTTGTTTCATCAGCATTCACTGTAGGAAAAATAGCCAAATAAGTTGTTTTTTTTTTATTTTTTATCTTACCAATAGAGTTGTAACATTTTTGCTGTCATGGATGCTTTTGAAAGGCACAAATTTTCTGATGATGAAATAATGTATTCTCAAATGTTTATGTTTTATTGGTAAATCAAGGTTTGTAAGTGCTAATGAAGTAGTTTGATTTGCAGTTATGGAAATGATTGCAGTAACAGTGAATTCAGACAATATAGTAGTTTTTTTTTTTTGTTGCATAAATCTGGTATCCTCTGCGCTCGTAATTGCAGAGACTAATTCTCGGGCTCGGGAGGATCATAATATCGGGCTCGGGAGGATCATAATAGGCGCTAAAGCTCTCTATCAAAGAGATTTAAGTAATCTAATTTAAGAATGGGAATCTCTTTCAATCTAAACTAGTGAAATACCCGGATAGGGTGAAGATGCGAATGATTCATATTATTGAAACAAAATTATAATTTAATTTCAACAAAAAGAAATTTCTAATTTTAGAAACTGTTGAAAATATTTTTAATTAATTTACATGTGGCACATTTTCCCATATACATACATATGACAAACATTTTAGATCTGTTTGATAATTGTCATTTTTTCACGGTTTATAGTTTAATTTGTTAGTTTATAGTTTATTTTTTAGATGCTATTTGAAATACTATTTTAGTTTATAATTTATCATTTTTCTTCCTTTTTTTATTTTATTTTAATAAAAATTCATTTTTATTCTCTATAATTTATTTTAATTTAAAATAAAATAATTATATATTAAATATCTTTTATATTATTTTATATTCATAAATTAGTTGAACTCTTAATTTTATCAAATATTTCAATTAATTTATTAATTATCAATTTCAACTATCAATCGATTGCTATTTTTATCAAATAGGTCTTAAATTTCAATTAACAATATAGTACTCCACTATTCTTATTTATAAGCAAAAGTCATTATAATAGTTTTGTTCAAAAGTATTCATACAATATTTACTAAATTTCAATGAACAACATACTCCACTATTCTTATTTGTAAGAAAATTTTTCATAATTGTCTTTGTTCCAAAACTATTCATAAAATAGTTACTAAATTTCAATTAACAACTTACTCCACTACTCTTATTTATAAGAAAAATCTTCATAATTGTCTTTGTGTCAAAACTATTCATGCAATAATTACAATTTAATTAGGGTAGGTTGGTAATTCTATCAGTTTATTCATATACATATAAAATTAAGAAAATTAAATACATTTAATCAAGTGTGAAAGTTGCTTCAAGACAAATAAAGTGTGAAAGTTGGATTTGTTGTTTACCTTCTCCATTTTTATTATAAGTCGTTTTAGATTTTTCACACATATTAAAAAAAATAAAAATTATTATATAAAATAAGAAATTACAATTTTTTTTTACTAAATTGTCATTTATTAATGATATGTGAAAGATAAATTTACATAATTTTTTTTTTAAATATATAATAAAAAAAATATCATTAATTATAATTTTTTTTTTAAATATATAATAAAAAAAATATCATTAATTATTCATTGAAGTGATAAAATAAATTATAAAGTAGTATAATTTTTTTTACAAAACAACTTCTAATAAAAAAAAGAGGGAGTATAAGTTACTATAATTAAGGCCGTGTGGAGTACATTTTTGTCTAACATGTTTAATTAATTGAATAAGACGTTATTTTGGATTGATAGCTCATTTATTCCTGTGTATTTTGTGTTTGCATTAAATACACAAAAAATACTAATCTAATTTGAGCATTATGAAACATCAAATTGCATTTTTTTTTCCATTAAAAGTGTAAAACTAGTACACAAAATGAGATTCTATGTAAAAACATTTTTAATTCAGTGATATATATATATTTTTTTGTTGAGAAAAGTAGTGATGTATTGACGGTGCAAATTAATTTTACACTATTAATCAATCACAATCTTGTATCAGGATAAATCACATTTTAATTTTAAAATTCTTTTAATGACAAAAGAGTTTGTTAACTTTCTATTGGATGACAATATAAAATAATTTTATACTGTCGGTGCATATAAGTTAAACCTATATTTTTTCTCTATATGGATAAATAGTACATTTTCAAGTATATACATTTTCCATTATTTACATCAACAACGAAGGAGGAGATTATTAAAGTTGAAGACCCCCTGAAGTCCATGACTAGCGAGCGAGATAAGGCGGTCCAATCCTTTAACAAATTGAAAGATCTTCAAAAGAAGAAGGATGAGGAGGTCCAAAAGGTCGTTGGGAAACTCGCCCTGGCAGAAGGTGAACTCATAATTTCAAGGAACTCTCTCCAGGCGAGGATCGTCCGCGAGAAGAAAGTGGAGGATGACCTCTCGGAATGTAAGGACGAGATGGTTGAAACTACAAAAAAAGTTCTTTGAAAGGGCTAATGCGTTAATGGCTTTCTCCTACCTTGACCTGGATTTAAGCGAGCTTAATCTATTTAGAGTCATTAAGGGCGACCATCTCATAAATGAGGAAGATACACCAGATCAGGGGTGACCCCCCCTGAGTGGAAGGAGAGAACTCCCCCTTCTTCAAAGGCTACTCCTACACGAGAAGAGTGAAATTCTGGTATCAGATATGTGATGTCGAAGGAGATGTCACGACATAAATATCCGAGGATAATGTAAAGTGCAACAATAATAAAAGCAGTAAAAACACAAAGGATTGTTAACCCAGTTCAGTGTACAACAACACCTACTCTGGGGGCTACCAAGCCAGGGACAAGTCCACTAAATAGTATCAATTCATAGACCCCCAGTAAACAATCAGTTTACGATCTAACCACTTAATCACTACCCGTGCTATACTTCTACCTAAAACACACCTAGGTATGAGGCCCTCCTCAAATCCCTTCAATCACTAACAGTAAATAACAACAGAATTATTAATTTATAAAGACTTAAATCATTCAATACTTAAAAGCTTACGAATGATCCATAATTAACAACTCAAATAACAACTCAAGTATTAAACCAATACTAGAGTGTATTACAATTAAAAGACTTAGACTTCTAAAACAGAAGGAATGTATTCTTCTTCAAAAGTTGCAGTAATATGAATAAGAATGCAAGTCCTTATAAAGGCGCAACAGTGGGCTTGGGCTGAAAAACAAATATTTCAATCTTTTGAATATTTCCATGAAAACAGGCCAAGATATAATCCATAAGGATAATGCAAGTAGAAAAATATTTCTCCATATTTTTCGCAACCTATGAGTCACAAATCCTGAATAATGGCGCGCATAAAAATAGAAAACAGAAAACTTAAACCAGATATGAAGTTCGTTCAGCTCAGGAGGCAGATGTCAAGACACCTGCTTTGACATCATTCAAAACAGTTTGCTTCAAATATCAAGACATTTAGCAAAACATTATCAAGTCATTATTTTACCAAAATTGCTGCCAACAAACACTTACAAACTCCCCCTTTGGCAAATTTTGGCTAAAACATTATTTGAGCACATTATCAGAGCAACAACATAAGCAAAACATAAGCAAAACAAAAACTCAGATAGCAGTTAGCTGTTAGCATAAGAAGATGTCAGAACATCTTCTGAGACATGAGGCTCCCCCTCAAGTATTAAGCTCCTCCTCAGTTAGTCGTAAATCAGTTTCTCTCCCCCTTTTTAGTCATAATATACCAAATAAAAATATGCATTCAAGAGAGTATCAGTAATATAAGTACAAGCCATAGAATCCAAAATTCAAGCACATACAAGTGCCAAAAAGAAACAAAGGGGTCAAAAAAGTAAACAATAAATAGTCTAACTATCTTCAGGACCAGTAAACTTGGCAGAGCTAGAACTTCCTTCCTCACTAGAATCTCCTCCTTCATAGCTCACTCTATCATCAAAGTTGTTGTCCTTCTGCAGCTCATTGATCATCTTTTCAAAAGTTAGCTTTCTTGCTGAGCTAACTCTTATCACATCATCAAGTTCTTTGCAGGCTTCCCTTAATTTAGTAATCATGTCATCCTTGGTTGAGGTCTTGTTTTCAGCAGATGCAAATGTCAAAACTATGTCTGGAACATGTTTTCCTGAAAACAGTTTGAAGTGAAGGGTCAGAGCAGACTCCCTCTTGCAAGCTACATCATTACCACTCAGAATTCCAGGATGTTGATTAAGAATAATTCAACAAATAAGGGATGGAAAGGCAATAGGCATCTTGATGGCACATGTTCCTGCATGCTTAATAGTCTGATAAAAAATGAAGTACCATAATAAAACATTTTCTTGTTTCCAACAACATAAATACATTTTTATAAGCCAACAATGATGGTTGAGGTATGATTGGTAGGAACCCAGTTAGCAGCTCCAATTTTATGCAAGATAGCATATTTCCCACTTAGCTTGCTAACAAGAAGCTTATTCTTCATGGGCCACTCACTCACTTGGTTAGCAGTGATAGCTTTGCACACTTGATTATCAGTTACTTCTAGCTCACAATAATCATCTTCAAACCTATCCCAAAATCTATTGATAATAGCAGGGGAAAATTCTACACACCTACCTCTAACAAACACCTTTCTATACTACTTACTTTTATGATCAACATAATCAATAGGAATATTAACAATAAATTCCTTAACAAGAGACTCATAGAATTTTGCAAACCTGGTAACAGTTTTCATCAATCTAGTAGAAGATATCAGCTCTATAATTTCTTTGCACTCTAGTGCACCAGCTCCCAATTCTCTTTCAAGGGAAATTCTTCTTTGAAATACATATATCCACTTTTCAGCATTCCCAACAGAATGGAAGGAAATGTTGTCAAGAGGGGCATCAGGTACCCTAACAGAAAGCTTTTTGCTTGCATACTTTTTCACAGGAGAGATGTCCTGGACATCTTC